GGCATACAGAAAATGACTGTATGATAGTGACAAGTTTGGATTTTATGGTGGAATCTGTCGCCATCTGTAGATGACATAAACTAGAAATTGGAGACTGGATGCATCTAATTGGTTCTCACCCACCCATTCTTCGATTTTGCAAACGAGGAGATCTCGGCGTTGAAGCTCGATACCATTTTCGAAATCAAAGTCTTGTGCACATAAACGGCGTGCAAATTGTTTTTTTTTGACATGTTCAGAATTTCTGAAGCCATGCAAACAATGACAGTGAGGAGGACACTTGTGATTCAGTATTATCTCCTGGAATATACTTGAACCCAACTCTTTGGTGGTTATCATTTTAGGTAGCCTTCATTGACTGGGACCTTTTCTTTTTTTTTCGATGAAGAAGAAGAATTTTTTTAAGTGTCGAGCTGGTCTTTTTTACCTTAAACACAAGCGATGTGGATTGACATAAATGTGGCCTTCATGACAAAAAAGGGTACTTATCTGGTATTAAAGTGATTATCACAGCAACTAAAGGTGTCCATGTCCCAGAAAAGAAAATATATGCGTGAAAATGTCATTACAATCTGCCTATTATGTTCCCTTTGAGAAAATAGCCTTTCAGCCTGGCAGTGCTAACTGTGTGCAGTAGCTGAACTACCTTTTCCCCAGTTAGCCGTAACTATTAGTTTTCCCCATGAGAGGGTCTAAGTAAGACTGAGCAAACTGCTCCAAATCTTATGCTAATATTTGTAGCATGAGAGAAAGAAGAGCCATGCCAAATATAACATGGCTATTTGGTCTCCAGTTTGGAGGGAACTGTTGCCCCTGGCGGGCTGTGTGTGGTCAGTAGGATATTTTATAGTTTTTTTGTTTTGTTTCATGGAAAGCGACTCTGTATGTGGATACCTGCAGATTTGTTTTGTTTCTGCTGTTCTGTATAAATTTATAGGTCTTATAGATCTGGAATATTTTTGGGTCACTCGGTAATGTCAGATTGGCTTATTTGTGCTTAAGTATGTTTAATATTTAAAGAGACTGGTTGCTTCTAAGTAATGTATATTTATTTTTCTAAATGAAAAAAACTGTTCCAAAACGAATTCGTAATTCCACGTGATATTTTGATGATAATTTCTTGTTTTGAAGAATTACAGACTTTTAAATAACTGTGGCGTAAACCTGACATTTAAATAACACAGACCAGAGAAGAATATTAGGTACAATATGCCTCATATGGCCAAACTTTAAAATCAAGGATCTTTGTTTCATGGTATTATTTTGCCCACAGGTAAATTTTGAATCTAGGAGGATCTTAAGGCAGTGATAGTTGAAATGGGGTGAAGGAGACAGACTACAATTTAAGTTCACATTCACTCCTACAGCCAATTTAGCATCTCCAGTTAACCTAATATGGAGGAAGAGGAAGCTGGAGCACAAGGCGAAAACCTACTCAGGTACAGGCTGGCTGGTTGATTTGAACCTGGGATGTTCTTGCTGTAGCACAACTACTGCAACCACTCTTCTATACTTTATTTTAGCTCATAAAAGGACCTGACAAGAGACAAGAGTTGCTGATTAATCCAGTTTTCGCTCATATTAATAAAGCTTCTTTCGGCTGATCCCTTATAAGGGGTCACTACAGCGGATGGATGTGGATATCTGATTTGACACATTTTCCTGCACCCTCCGAGGAATTTGTGTGTCCTCTCAAGCTCAAAGATGATCTTTTCTCTGTTAGGTGAATATGTTAGTCACATTTTTTCTTTAACATTGATATTAGTTATTAATGGTGTTCCATGCAAAGGGATAAACAAGATGAACAAAATCATCAGGGGAGGGGAAAATCCCTACGTGACAAATTAGAGCATAATAGACTTTTGACACTTTCAACTTAGCATTACACAGATTAGAAAAAATAAATATGTGGTTTGCTTAAAAGACTCTCATTCCCACAACTTTAGAATAACCAGAACCTAACCTAATGATGCCCCAAGTGGCCTTGTGTTTCTCAGCTATCAGCAGCAAAGTAGCTGTGGGGATGTTTGTGCATGTCGCAACAGCATTTAAAACCTAAAATTCTAACTCTCAGTTCTAAGATAACTGCTGCAAATATCATGTTGGAAAAGTTACAGTAGAGTCACAAAAAATGATATTTTTGGCTGTAAGTCAATGGGTTTTATGTTCTAACCAGTGAGTAAGTCATTTGGCCAGGATTCACAGGAATTCTTGTAAAGAAACAAACGGTATTCAGTATCATTGTACGAATGCAAGCCTTTAATAGTCTCACACAGGTTTCCAATCAAAGTGAAGGTCTGTAAAGTGGCTAATTTATGGAAAGGTAGCTTCCTGAAAGGCTGATTAAACAGCTAAAACCAATACTCATGTGGCAGATCGTGAACCACAACGAATGCTCTTAAGGTGCCGTTGCTGATATTTAATTTTCCTTAATATAAAAAGCCTCATACGTTCTGTAAATTACAAATTGTAATTTTTGTAAATATCATACTTGAGTATTTTTATTCCTTGATCATTCTGTTCAAATGTTTGTATACTGTAAAATATAACAGCTGCTATTTTGTGTTAGTGATTTGTTTCATATTGGTGATCTTTCCCGAAATTTGTAACCTTTTGTAATTTTCCTATTTTAATAAACACCTTAACATTACACTAAGCTGCATCCGTCTTAGCGCTTGACATATTCCTCTGTGGAATATGTTGCGAGGAACATGCCAGAAACACCATCTCTGAGTCTGTTTTCTCCATCTTTTGGCAGTTTGGTCCTTATATCAGTCAGAGAAGCAAATTCTAGTGTATAATAAATACTCATAAGTGGCTAAAGCAACGGGGGTCATACATACAACAAGGGAAGGAGATAAATAATAACATGTCAGGAACATTTGGATAACAAATTTGGACATCCCAGACTAGAGTGAGGTTCAGTTGAACTTGGATGTGCTTTTCAGCAATTCCTAAAGTTTTAGTTGCTCAATATGAGATAAGATACAGAGAATCCTCCAGATGTAAGATTAATATTTCTGTCAAATTAGTATATGAAGGCTTTTAAAGTAGTGCACTAAGTATTCAGGTTTATTGCTTAAGAAAAAGAAAGCAGTACAACAGATAAAACAAAAGCCTTGTAACAAGAATTGGGCATGCCCGCTGCTGTAGACTTTACATACTATTCACTTTGTAATACTGTAGGAGGTCAGAATGGATTTTGTTTTATTTTTCATTAAATATCAGTAGATAAGTAATCTATGAGAACCTGAATTCATGGATACATTTCTCCATCCAGAAAAGGTTAAAACAGCTGAAGAGTTTAGAAGAGGAAATGCTAGCAACCAAAAATATTGGGAAGCACAAGGGCACAGTGGGTGCAATCCATATAAAATGTATCTTGTAAGAAAACCATAGGATATTTTACTATATAAGCACAAACTTTAAAGAAATCACTGGAGCTGGAAAAAAAAAACTCTTATAAAAGGTCAAATATTAATCTCTGAAATGTGTCATAAATTAGCATAAAAACACTTGAAAACTGGGTCTAAATTAAATACATGTGTTCAATACCTGCTGTTAAAAATTCATATGCAGTCATTCTAAAACTTGCCTCAATTTATGCAAGATTGGTGGATGTTTCAGAAACAGTCACAACACAAACGTGGAGATATCATTTAACTATCTGGCTTCATGATGTTATATTCCAGCGGGGGTCATTTCGCCAGTAGGCCACTTCCATGCTGCTGACCAAGCTTTTTGTATTCTGAACCCAATCTTTCCCCTGCTGACCAATTATCAGGAAACTCAGAGACTTACTGTCTCCTCACTGTAGTAAAGGGATATAAAGGAACTCAATGCCTCTGCCCTGTTGCAGTCGTAAAAAGTGATACCGAGCAGAGCAGATATCAGGTCGCATTTAAACTTTAGGGGTTTTTTTTTAGGGATTCTCCCACCGGCTTTTCCTGGACTGAAATCTTGGAAGTGTTCCTTATGCTCCTACACTGACACAAATGTCAAGCCTAACAATATAAAGGGGATAATGTCCATATCATCGTGTGGTAACCTTAAATGATCCATGGAGCAATCATTTATGTAGGAGTCAACAAGTCTTTAAAACTGATATATAACTGAGGAGCACAGCAAAGTATTCATTAAAGATTATACTCAGAGATTAAAATGTATCTCTTAATAATCTCTGTCAGTACTAAACTCTACCTTCTTTAACTTGAACCTAGCTTTATTGTCCTTGTTGCCCAGCAACAAGGACAATAAAGCTTTCTTCCAAGAAAAAGTTTATTATCATCCTCATCTTATCTATTTTCTCATCCCTTCTGGTGCTATAAAGTCACATTAAGTTTGCTTCATTGCAAATGGGTTTAGTGAATTAATTTAATTATCTTACCAATCAAAGATCACATTGCGTGCTAACAGCACAGACTTAAGGAAAAGTGATGAGTCGAGCTGCAGTGCAATTAAGAGGCAATAGGTGGAAAGGACAAAATTGTTGGGTCCATACTTTGTCTCCCTCTACTGGTTGAAAAGTGTCCCTTCAGTCGAGCAATTAAGCAGCAGTCAAAAGCTCTTGCCGCTGATCCACTGGTCTCATTATCAGTCCATGTAGAGATGCGGATTCACATCCGGGACCAACAGAAACTGATCATTTGTTTGAAACTGACTCCAGGTAAACGGCATTCCCTGCTGGTTCCACTGTTGAATCACAGAGCAGTCTGGCCCCCCTGTCTTTGTTGCCAAAGGGCAGGTTCTCCTCATGTCTGTGTGGTGGGGAACCAGTGGAAAACTGTATCCATCTCTGTGGAGATCCAGAGGAGTTTTGTCTATGTTTTGTATGTCACTCGGCAGATGGGGAAATGAGGATGTTGGACATTCAGAATTCCTCACGGCTGTACGTCAAGGGGGAAAAGATTATTTTCTTTAATTTCTGAAAAGTTATTGCATAAAAATTAAGATAGTATGGTATGTACTTAGGAACAATTGAGAGTAGTGATTTTTAAGTCATATTGTGATCCAACAGGCAGGCTTTACCCTACACCTACCCTATTGTTCATATTTAAATGAATAAACACATAAATAGTGAATATAGTTTACCATCACTACAAGTCCCAAATGACTTGTGAAATCAACATAAATTTATTACATGTTTAACATATGGCTTCATAGATAGCAGAAAAGAATTCTGCAAGTCCAGGCAACTTTATATGATGCCCAACAGACAGGTAGGAGGGAAAATATTATAATAATACCTTTTTTGTGCAACCTTAAATTAGTTCATAATCAGGATCATTGGATTCTTAATAGATTTTTAGCAGTTTAGTAAATTCAAACCCAAGCCCATCACAGGGAATGAAACTTTTTATAACATGTACTCTCATCACTGACCTTTATATCAGCTAAACTACAATCAAGCGAATCTCCAGCTTCTTTAACATCATTCTTAAATACTCTCTATCAATATGAATAAAAATTAAATTGAATGAAAATCCTCATAATCAAACAGAGAGAAAGATTATTAAAGACAGTGATTTGGTCAAAGACCGTTTTCCTGGATCTCACCTGTTTCTGTTGGGAAGAAGCAGCAATTTTGCAGCTTCCTTGCAACAGTGCTGTATGAAGAGCTGTCCGGATTGACTTTTGCCATTCCAGTAGCCTTGGAAACCGCATAAACAAAGTTTAAATATCACAATGTCACCAGACATTTGTTAAAAACACAGAAATCTCATTTGGAAATTGCCTAGTATTGCCTAGAAATTGCCTAGAGAACTATGCTCGGAAAAACATTCACAGCGGCATGTTTTAAGGGCTTTAAAGTAGATATCACTGGTTTGCACAGTACCTGTTGAGATGTGAAGCTGTGTGTCATTGTTGGATTCACAGGAACAAAGTCACTTTGCTTTTCAAAGTCTTCAGCTGCTACAAAGAAACACATTTTAACAGCTATGAGGCAAGAATTGATGCGTTCAGGAGGACTTTCCACTACCAGTGTGTTCAGCTCCATTTATTATTGTCCAGTGGTCAAATTATACATTCTTATCACATCCTTGCCACCCACACTCAGCTCCCAAGTATGTGTGCACCACACACACAGACACACACTCACACTTACTCTGCGTACTACCTCTCTGCTTGGCTTCTCTCCTCCATTTAGCACGTCTGTTAGAAAACCAGACCTTTGAGGGACAGAAGCCACACCTCAGGAACAGACAGCTTAAATGTATATGAATTTCTTGATGCTAAAATTGATAAAAAAGTCTACCTTGATGGTGTCCTCGGGAAGTTTAATTTCAGCAGATAGCTTCTCTCTTGTGTACATGTCAGCATACTGGCTGCGAGAGAATTCTGATTCAACACGGAGAAATAGTTCTTTAACTATTACTGAGTCTAAAAATTATGCATTGTGTTAGTTTGAAATAGTTAAAGAGATTTTAAGTCACCTTGCTCAAGTGCTCTGCTCTGCTCTGGCGTAAAGGTGGTGCGGATTCTGTGCTGCACACCTTTGGATTTCTGTTTTTTACTGCACTCTGTCTCAAACTTCTCAAACTTCTTTGCTTCTTCTTGAGCCAGAGAATACAAATCTGCACATATGGAAACACACATGCAGTTAATATTTATACATTTATGTGTTAAATTGTCATGTTCAGTGATAAAAAATTCTGATCAAACTCGATAGTCTTCCTAAACCGTTATAAATGAACTTCTCCAAGGACCAAGTTACTTACCCTGCTCAACCCTGACATCAGCGTTGAGGTCCATCCACGATGGTCCGCGGTCCAAGTGGATCTTTCTTAAAATCCTATTTATGGACGACACCTTGCAGAACACAGTGTGCACAAACCATCAAGTGCTGGAATCTTTTCAGTGTAGTTAAAGTACATTTGAATTTTAATCTTACTTACGCTGGGGACGTTGGGGGCCTTGCATATCCGCGCCGCTGCGAGACGTTTTCGGATTTCCCAAGCAAAAATAGTCGGATTTTCCCTTTTGCACTGGATGATCGTGGAGATGACACCGGGGGTGAGAAGTCGGGGGCGGCTCCCACCGATGGTCTTGGGTTCCAGGAGTCCTGTGCGCCGGTAGCGGCTCAGGATCTTACTGACGCACCCGTTGGACACCTAAAGATGCAAATGAGCTCCACTGTGTTAAACAAGAATAATCCGTTGATGCTGCATTTAACATAACATCGCAAAAGCTTATTTTTTCGAAATCCAAAGTTGTTTTTTTTTGTTGTTGTTGTTGTTGTTGTTTTTCACTATTCAGGTTACCGTACCCTGAGTATCCTGGAGATCTGGCTTGGACGGACTCCCTCCAAGGCCAGCTGAATCATTTTTCGTCTCTTGGGTTGTGGGAGAGGTCTTCCGTTGAGAAACATTCCTCCTAACTGGTTGACACTTCCACCACCTTATCACAACACATACTAAATTGGTTATTTTTTCTAATTAACCGAATACAACGAGTCCACTAAAATGTCTTACTGTGGTTCATATCTAATCCATATTCACTGATTTGCAACGGTCTGAATATAAATAAGTGGTTAAAAAAAAATGAAAAATGAACCTTTATTTTCCAGATCAGTGTTCGTTCCGCACATCTCTCCTTGCTCCCAGCCTTGAGGATGAAACTGAAGTCAAAACTATAAGAACTTTCTTCCAGAGAGGGGGGAGACCTTGGACTGCAATGTGAAGAATGTGATAAATTAGAATTAACGAAATTGTCGCGGTAACTCCACTCCAGTCTGGTGAACGAATTACAGTGAGAGGAATCCCACCCTTCAGCAGCAATTTATAGACCTGCACACCTCAACATGACGTGGTGATCCGATTCCTGAAATGTAAATAGTCAACTGCTTTGAAAGAGAATGTGCGTGTTAAAGGCTGGACATGTGCTTCAAGTTGGTGCGTTTAAGCGGCCAGACTCTTCGGACATAGAACAATATCCTAGCTTTAAAACCACCTGTATTCTGATCCTTTTTGGCGATTCACAAAGCACGTTTCAAGTAGCCTATTTTAACAGCAAATGCAGACGGGGGAAGACCAAGTGAGTGACAGGAATGTATTTTGTAGAAGAATTTCCCACAAAGCGTTCCGGCAAGCCAAAATTAGAGCTCGGTTTTTATTGTTATAATAACATCTAGACATGTCATAGTGTGAAACATCCAATCAGATATAACCTACCCCCACATCATGTCAGCATCTTTGCACCATCTACTAGTGGGATATTACACACTGCACACTTGGGCAAAGCTGATGCCACCTGAGCGCACTTTACTAAATATATTGGCAATATCTGATCATCTAAAGCGTCACAAACAAATAGATTAAGTCTGCTTTTAATGTCTAGTAGCCCGTGCACTGCTCCAACAGCTGACACACAAAAGAGTAATATCCGAGCTTGGGAACTCAAAGAGCTTCCTTTTGCGCAGTAGCTGGTTGCAGTCTTAATTAGACAATACAGTTTTGAGCGCAGCACACTTCAGTCCTTCTCTTTTCTGCTTTGGCTCTTCTTAATGTAACGAAAATACAGACCTAAGCGTCTTCTTTCAAAGAAACTACATGATCAACATCAGTGTGTTTCTCATACTTTAGTGGGTCACGTGACTTGAACATCCTCTCCTAGGTTAAGTGGCTCAGATTAAAATGATCTCTGGTCTCCTTTCATAAAACAAACATTTGGAAATCTGCTCCTATGACGACTGCCATATGGTAAAGTGCTTTTGATAAATCATAAATCCATCACAAAGTCTCTTTATTACATTTTCTTTCAAAACGTGAACAAATAGACTCCTATATGGGCGCAAGGAAAGGGCCAATTGGGGGACCTCTTTTTATGCAGAAGAGGGAGGCTAAAACAACCCTCACAGATGTTCCTTGGGCAGCCAGCAGATAAAAATACGTTGTAAACGTTTCAAAGGGAAATATTTGACGAGCAAATATTAGCCTATGTGAAAACCCACACGAGGCTCGTCTTTTGGTCTGTTTAATGACTAATTGAATCATTAGTTGGGTCCACACAGATCGAAGTGCCACCGAAATAAAGGCTTAGATTTTAAAATGCCATATGGCCCAAATTATACATTAACCACGAGTTAGAGGATAATAATACTGTGTGTACAATCAGCCAGGTTGGATAGAGGACAGCCATTTTTGGACACCATCATCTCCTTGCCAACCGACACAAAGAACGACCAGGGCGACGGTTTCTATTTATTACCAGCGAGTCAGCGTGGTCATTGATTTATAGTACTTTACTGCACATGCAGTGTGTGCCAAACGAGAATAATTAAAGAACTTATGCTGTGTTGTTAAGACAGCAACACGTTTTCGTTGTGCGTAAATTTTAGTATGTGCTCGCCAGGGGAAGGGGTGAGTTTCAGCGCTTAAATAGTGCCACGGACAATATATACGTTTTAGTTACATGCCATAGATCTTTGTCTTGTGTATAAAAACTTGCGTATTGGTGCTTTACGGCTTTACTGTGTCCTAAAGCGTTTAGAACTGTGAAAAACTCAGCCGCGTAAAAAGGTTACCACAACCTCTCCAAAGCGCACCGAGTAGCTGTGTGCGCAACGAACTCGTTTTCATGGTCAGTTTCCTCCATCCTGTTACGAGATGGCAACGCGATTCAAGGAATGTTGACCTTTTTGAATTTTAGTATCGTTAATGTTCCCGTATTCTGTGAATGGAGGTGATTGTTTTAGTTTTTAATCATTGTTAGATATCCTACATGCGGTTACATGGCCGCAGATAGTCGGATAAAAGACAGAAACAGTCTGTCTTAACATGGCATTCAGTGTAAATGTGACTTAAATGCTTATTTTTATTTGATTTGATTTTTTACTTGACGGAACTAAAAAAAAAAACTAATGCTGATTATATCTTTAACAGCTTAAATTTGGAAAATACAAGCGTTATTCACACATTTTATGCAAGGTAAGTCATTCTTGCAATGCTTCATGTTCCACATGACCAGGTTTCCCAACTTTTAGTCGCAACCTAACCCCCCACTTTTTAATCATTAGGATTTGATTTATTTATTTATTTTTACATTTTCATAGATCCCCAAACCAAACTTTATGCAAACGAAAATAAATCACTATTTATCCTTTTTTAAACACGTTTTAATATAAATATACATTTTGCGCTTGGTTTCTTCTGTGTTCTGCAGCACGGACACAGAAAATGATAAATATATTTTATCTGGATTTCCCCCCTTAAACCTTGTGCAGCTTTGCCATATCAAAGTATGCTCAATAACATTTGATTTAAAAAAATAATTGTAATATACCTAAACGATTAAAAATAACAACAAAAATACAAGCATTTTTAGATCGTCAATTCTATGATTTGATTTAGTTCAAAGGGTTTGATTTCACAATGGTTTAAAGCATCAAAGGTTTTTATTAGCAGCTCTAATTTAACGGTCACCAGCTGCCCAAGAACAAAGTGTTCTGGCGCTGGCCTGCCTTTGTTTTGTTCTGTTTTGTCAATAAACCAGTTGAACCTTTATATGTTCCGTGCTTGGGTGAGCTCCTGTGTGTGTTGGACAATATTTAGTTGTCAACAAGCTACACTGAAAAAAAGGGATTGGCCAGCTCTTGGATTTAC